GATATTTCTATATAAAAAAAATTAATAATCTACCGAAAAGAGATATTCACTATAATCGATTAATACTTTAATTAATGGCAATAAATTAAAACTAGAAATAAAAATTAAGCTTTTTTTGTCTGCAATTCTTTTTTTTTTTAAACTAAAAGCTTTACCTATGTCCTTTAAGCATATTAAGATCCAGATCTTCGGCTGGTCGAATAAGATTATTTCCAAAAACAACGGCTAAATTATCCGTATCCATTTTAGTTATTTGAGCATGATCAGTTACTTTTTTTAGAAATATACATAAATATGCTAAAATAGCATGATTTATATTTGTAAGATTTGTTTCTATTAATTGTTTTAAACGATATAAATCATTTGTTTGACTATATTTAAAACGTGAACCTATTGCAAGAAATTCATCAAAACAATGTATAGGAATTATTGGTTCAGGTAACGATTGTAAATAGGTTTTTAATAATGAGGATATTGTTGCAGGTGAATAACAAGCTTTTAATTCAACTGGTAAACCACGATCATACATATCACGTAATTCTTTTATTGTAGATTGTTTACCTGGTACTCTAATTAAATATAAAAAAATTTCTTTTTAAATTAGAATCTTCTGGTTTCTTTTTTTTTTTCTTCTATACTACCGAAATAAACCAACAAATGTTAAACCATGTTCAAGTAAATATTCACAACATTGTCGAACAATTAAAGGTACAAGTGAAGTTTTATCTTGAGAATATCTATAAGTATCTTGTAATGATTGTCCAAATATACCTAAATATGAACAAAAACGTTTATAAGTACAAATAAAATTTAAATCGAAAAATAAGTGAAGATTAGCATATGATTACTAAACTTCCTGATTTGACTAGCAGAATTCTGGATTTTAAGCCTTTATTCTGATACTAGGAGTTGTTTTTCGAGATTTTCTGAAGCTCATATATTTTTGAAAGAAAATAGTGAGCATAAGTTTAAACCGAGGATTTTGTGACTTCCTTTTTGTTTACTCTAGCGATCGTGAGTTGGAGAAGAGAACGACAAAGACTAAAGAATAAGTTTCCATAACAATGATGGCACAGTGTACATTTTTTCAAATAACAGGCGAATATTGACTTTCTTGCTCGGAAATGGATTTCTCTTCTAAGAAGTGATTGAATATGACGCAGCAAAGAACTTTTTAAGAGAAAAAAAATACTTAGGAAAAGAGTTTTTCGAGAAAAACTGGTCAAGAGGAATCCTCACCCTTCTTTTTAGTCAAAACTTTTTCTACAGGATCATTTTGTCTTATATATCATTCAACGTAGTTTTACACGCTACCTGCGAATATAATATTTGTTCTGACAGAAAAAAAAACAATAAAATAATATTTCCTGATTTCTAAGGCACCTTTCATATATATTACCATTAGAAGAAGAGCAGTTATGTACTGAAGATGCATTTGAAAATATAAATAGTTTTTTCTTAAGTATAAAAATGTTAATTGAATCTAAGAAATGTTCTAATTTGAAACATTTTTAAAGTGATAAATTTACAGAGCTCGCGTATCAACTGTAAAAGTTGTTATTTATATAAACTAAGTTATTTTTACTGCTCTGACAATATGTCATAAATTTAGAATAATCAAAGTTCGTGACTTCCACATGTTGGGCTTTCATGAGATTGTATTGATAATTTTTCTACGGTTTATTTTGTTTTTTTTTCTCCATTTTGGCACTTAGCAACATGTTTAAGCAACAAGAAAAACGATCTAGCATTACAATATAATGTTAGATTCTACAAAGGACAGAGAAAATATCCGTTAAATAGACGCAACAGATATGAACTTATCTTCTTAACAATAGAAAAGTACTTCCATTTATAAAAATTAATTCTATTAGCTTTTTCTATGTTGACTTGAAATGCATTTTGTGAATCTATTTTTAGTTATTTGAAATTTTGTGGAATAATAATCGAAAACAAAATGAAAAACAATCTTGTTTGTGTTGATTCTTTTATTTTGTTGATTTATTTTCATGAACAAATATGAAAATATTAGCAATATAAAATAAGTTTGATCATATTGCTTGTTTTTATTACAAGCAATTGCTTCTATAATTGCTTTATTAGAAGAAAATAACAAGCGCTTCCTCTAGCTATTATTTTGTATAAAATCGTATCTATCTACTTAGCACCTTACAATACCGAAATTACGTAAGAAAAATAGGGAAAACTGTACATTGTTTTGCGCTTTTCTCAAATCAAGTTTTTCATGAAAAACAAGCGCATTACCGCCTCCACTTCTTTCGCCTGATATATCAGATCCAGCTGAAACTTTTTTCGCATACACTATATGCTGTTTGGGATACTTTTTTTTGTTTCGAAGGATATTTTTCTGTTGATTTTTGGTAGTTGTATTCAAGAAGAGCCATGTATCATTTAGGATAATTTCGATATTTTGGCTTTTTTATTTCAAGAACGAGAAGACTAAAAGATATCCACCCCAAACAGTGTTTGGTATCTGGATAAAATTTTCAGCCTAATCGAATGTAGTAACTTAAAGAAACAGGAGGCTCTTATTCTGCTATTGTGATCATACATTCTCTGATGATACGTTCTCCAGAAACTCTAGACATAGGGAGAGATATGTTTCGGAAATAAAACCATATTAATCTCATCTTTTACATGTTTGACTCTCAGGATATATATGCGATAGTACTCTTCTACAAACTAAGCGTTAAAAGATTTTTACGAGTATAAGGTATGTAGACATCCAAGTCAAGGAATACAAGCCCAATTCTCTCTGAAAAAGGGTATGAACTCGGAAGGAGGATCTCAATGATCGAATCTAATGATTGGCTGTCTCTAAAATTGAGAAAATCTAGCCACCAGATTTATATTATCGAGTTCTTACCATTTTCCTGTCGGAACCGATTTCTTTCCAGTGGATTCCAGTCAAAATCATTAATCTGAATAGTTCTTAATATTAGAATCAATGCAAAACTCTTTAGAACTGTTTCATACAAGGAGAAAGAGAGTTATAGTTCGAATGAGTCGATCGTCATCATGAGCTATGTACCTGCCATCAACTTAGTTCTTTTCGTTTGATGATAAGATATATATAACGAAATTTATAGAAAAAACTTTGCAGAAATAAATCCTAGGAAGTTGCTGAAACAAAATAAAGAGCAATGTTTTTTATATGCTAGTTACTCTTTTGACATGTTATGATTCATTTATGCACTATTACTCATCTGTTTATATAATTATTCATTATGGTAAAATCCTTTTTTTTTTATACTGATGATAAATTTAAATATTACAATAAATCAAAAACAAATAGAACGTATCTAAAATGAATATAATAGAAAATCCTTTATGCAATGAGTTAAATGTAAATGTCATATGATTAACAAGTTCTTATTCGTATTCATGAATCTTAAAAATTCATTTTCAATCGTAATGTCAAAGCTTGATCATATGATTCGAATAAAATCAAAGACATTGTTCAATCATTTTTATCTTATGTATGATGTTGAAACTACCCTTTGATAGTTGATACCATGAATTATTTCATTGACTTCTACTCATATAAACATTTAAAGATTTTATTGTTTAATTAAGAGTACGTAGCACCCTCAATGTCGAATCACTAATAAACATTAGGAACTAAGTATTTTTATTCGATCAATCTTATAAAATATAATACATCAAACAAAATTAAATCAATATTATCTTAAGGCTTGTTTTTATTTACCTATATACTTACAGGTTTCTTGTTTAGCAATTCATAAAAACACACAATTAATTCCACTTTCGAGCAATGTTTAATCAATCGTGGGAATGACGTCTTTCCGAAGATCAGATTGATTCTTTCAGAGTTTGTAACTCTTTTGCAGTTTGCTATATATTCGTACTCTCAAAAATAGATGTTCGTCTTCTCAGAATTTTAGACTGTTTCTTGGGAACAGATAATCCGGATATACTATTATTTTCGATTCTTAGTCTGTCATAAAATTATTATCAAAGTATCTGTCCAATATGTTAGCTGAAGGAGAATTCAAAAGAAAAACATAAATGTCAAAATTATCGAATCTCTTTTATCTTAATCCATTAATATTTGATAATAAGTAAATAATAAATGTTATATTGATAAGAATCAATTGTTTTTTTCATCCTATAATTTATTCTAATATGAAAGACTCTTATTTGAACTTATAAAACTAAAAAAATTTAAAAATCGATGACATTTCATTCCTGAAAAAAAGTTCTTTTTTTTTTGTTTTAAATAATTCACTTACCACCACCCACTCGACTATATGCAGTTTGTTTTAATGCTAATAACCAATTATCATAATCTTTTTTTGTTTCTGCTTGTAAATGATGTGTTGATTTTCCATCTTAAAATACAAATAACAAATATATATATATGTATGTTCCATATATAAGATGATTCTTTCATACAATCAACTATAATTTCAATTGTATTAATTGATAAATTATTATTATTATTTGATTCATTATTAAATGAATATTCAAAATCATTAATAATTATACTTGGTAAAAGTTTAATCCAATCTCTATATCGTGTATCAACTTTTGATGCAATAAATAGAACAGATTTATCCCAATCAATAATACAATATCGACGATGCCATTTCGTTTGATCTTGTTTTTTAATTTTTAACCAACCTAAAATTTTTTGTTTACTTTTGTATTAACGAAACAAAAAAATTCTAATAATTAATTTTCAATAAATTTAATTTACCTTCTTTTGAATTGGACATGTTTCAAAAACAATTAGAAAGAAAAAAAAAAGAATGATATATAGTAGTCAACCAAAAAGAAAAAAATATTGGTCTTTTTTTACCAATCATTAACTATTCTAAATTCTTTTTAGAGGTTTAATGATAAATTTTGATTCGTCCATGTGATGATGATGTGGTCTTACTCATCAGTTTTCTTCTTTCTTTTTTTTTTTATACCCATCATTCATTCATTCGACGGAAAAAACAAACGTTTGTATTATGAAACTTTTGATTCTATCAGCAATTATTTGCTATTTATCATTATATGTTGTTCAAGGTAAACAAAATAAAAAGAAAATCATTCAAAATAACATATCTTCTTTTAGCTGGTAACCAACAGCGAAGTGTTTTACTAGAAGATGTTAAAACATTAACACTTTATAAAGGACAACGAACTGAAGCCAGACGAGTTTCATCTATTCCACAATTAAAATGTGTTGGTGGTTCAGCAAAATGTGCTTATCAACCTGATGTTGTACAATGTTATAATCGTGGATCGAATGGTATTGATATTCAAGTAAGATTTTAAAGAAATTTATCGAATAAGATGAATAGTCGTCATTTGAAAAGCCATCTATACTTTTTTGTAAAGTTTTGTCTCATCAAATAGTATATTGATTTTTCATCAATTTTTTCATGTTGTGATTTAGCTTTTAATGATTGTTGGGTTTTTGTAATGTTTTAAATTGTTCGATACTGTTTCTATGGACAAAGTTGACCAACCGTGAAATTTTCTCCGACACTGTGTGTTACGAAGCTGTATAAGTGTACCAATTGATTGTTTTCTAAATTGATTTACGTCATATTCAAATCAATGCCTATAAAAGACTCATTTTTTGTTTCCTAAACATAGAAATATTTAAGTTAAGCAATAAATACTTTTTCAATCAAAACTATTTTTGTTAATTAATAATAAATTTATCATGCTCTATCATTAGAAATGTATGATACCTTCAAGAATAGGAAAGAAAAATTTGCTTACATAGAAAATTATGAAGTCTGATAGGAGGCCAGACATATATTGAATCTCAATTCATGAGAAAAACAATGAAATAAAAACGGCTTTGTGTAATAATTTATTTCCATACGATTTTCCAGAAGTTCGAAAACGGAACACTTTTTACATTTTTTGGAAAACTTCATATAAAGCAGTTCATACACTATGATCAACTCATGATTATTAGATAGAAATTTTCTCATTGAAGAAGTAAGACATAGTAAGTCCTGATAGTTGGTCATATTACCTACCATTGCTAAAAGAATCTCTTAAAATGTATATGGTCTCTCGAAACATAAAAAAATTGATGAAAAATCAATATGTCACTCAATATAATACGAGTTGATCTACAAGAGAGTATAACTCGCTTTTCAATTGAAACATGTTTATCTTATTCAAAAAGATCCCTGTCAATAATAAAAGCCTATTTCAATTTTCTGTTTTTTAGTGGGAATGTACAAGTGAAATGCCACAGAAATATAAATTTGGAAAAATAAGTGTGTCATGTGAAGGATATAGTTATCCCGATGATCCATATATTTTAGCTGGATCCTGTGGAGTAAATAAAATCACTTTTTTCTTTTGAAAAACAAAACATTTTCATTTATTGAATTTTAGTTAGAATATAATCTTGAATTAACAGATAAAAATTTTTATGACTCAAAACAATCAGCAAATGTTCAACATTCGTACGTTGAAAGTTTTTTTAATTTTTTCTAAGATATCTTTTAATTCTTTTATGTTAGATCTAGTTCGAGATTTTGGTCATTTTTATTTAAAGTAGCACTTATCGTCATTGTATTTTTTGCTATTAAAACATATCTATCGGGTAATAGTCAAACAGGTGGCGTGAGACCAATGTCAGCTGGACCTGATCATCGTCCACCAGGTAAATTTTAAGTTTTTATTTTATTATTGATTTTATTTAATTTTTAAAACTAGGTGGTGGCGGAGGTGGATTTTTTTCAAATTTTTTTCCAGGTGGTAATGGTGGCTTTGGTAATTTTTTTGGTGGTACACCAGGACAAGGTGATGCTCGACGAAGACAACCACCACCACCACCAGGCTTTCGAACGGACTATACCGATAATGGAGCAGGTGAGTGAAATATAAAGTTGCGGATCTATATTTTTCTCGACTTGGGTCCGATACTAAATCAAATTTTGAATCCACATCTCACTGCAGTCAAATATTTGATTAAACTGAAATCTTGAATGATTGATCTATTTGATTCTTTAGACTGCACTGCTAATCGACAACAAAATACTGGTACAGGTGGTGGAACAAACTTTTTAACTGGAGCTGCACTTGGTGCTTTAGGTGGTTATGTTTTTGGTGCTCGAAATCGACAGTAAACTAAAGCATTCATCTATTTATATTTGTGATAAAATATTTTTATCTAGACGTAATAATCAATATATGCCTGGTACTACTGCAAACACTGGTTGGTTTGGTGGAGGAGGAACAAGAACAACAACAGATACCTTTGGATCGACTGCATCGTCATCATCAAGTGATACTCATACCAGTACTGGTAAGGCAGCTATTGGATTTTGTTTTCTTTATAAGTTCTTCTTTCTCATAGGTTATGGTGGTACTAATCGTCGATAGATCAATTCTGACAAAAAAACGATAACTCTCAACTGAAATTTTATATTCTTGCTCTAATTAAGAATTTTTGTTTTTTCAATTTTTTTTTCATTTGAATTCTTATAAACAAGCAAAGTCGAACATTGTACAAATAAACTGATGAATTTAATCAGGCGTATTAATCTAAAAGAATTGATAAAAAAACTGTTGATTTTTTTTTTGAAGACGATCTATTATCTTATCAGAAATTAAATTAGAAATTAATACATCACTGAATAAATGACATCTAAAAACCATCTAGCAAATTTGACTCAGATTTTATTTTTTTCAAAGCTTCAACAAACAGCATATGTTCTAAGAAAAAACTTTTCACATTGATAGCACAGCTATATCAGAATTCTATACTATCGAAAAATTACATGTAAAATCACTTCTTTTTTCTACTTCGTGATGAAAAATGAACAATCAATTATAGAGAAGAGCATGATGCAAAGCAGTGAGATCTGCTGTTCAACTTGTAATATTATTCTGGATTCGGGCATTTATGAATTTGATTACAACTTTTACACCTGCAATCAATGCATCCTTGTTGTTCAATTGTAATGAATGAATAGCATCGAGTTTTTTTGAGATCATTAACAGTATATGTTCTCATGAGTCTAAAGTCTTCCTAAACTGAACGAGGCACTCAGTATTAAAAAAAGTCATTTGAATGATGAATTTTACAGCTAGAATGTGAATAGAAGTGAGATTGAACAAGACATAAACAGAATCATATTAATAACAGTTTTCACATAAAAGGATGCCAAAACAAAACATACGGTAGAAGCTTTCATAGTGGACATTCGTAAAGTTCCAAGATTGTCTTATTAGTATTGTTTCTCTTCAAAAAATATTCATGTGTCATACGTTTTTTTTCCCGGAAGAATGGACTGACACCTATAATACACATACTAGTCATCAAGAACTATTCTACCCTACAATTTGAGCTTTCTATCTGTTGTAGTCAAAAAATTGGATCAATCTTTCCAAAAAAGAGCAACTTTTATTCCTGTCCGTATTAGTTCAGTGTTTCATCGATTGTCATTTTAAAAATACTAACTCAATAGCAATTTTTCAAGATCATTACGATTGAATCTTTATTCGACAAACGTATTTATCCTGAACTTCATAACACAAATTTTTCGACTATTTGAGGTGCAAATAATGAACAATTAAGAGGGAAATAATCTGAAAATGAGTCAGAATTGAAAAATGTTTGGAACAGCAAATACTGAATAAATTACTGAATTGATTGAAGCAAGTGATCGATCAAAATAAAGTATATATGGTAAATATTGACGCCCTTGTTTTTTATTAAACATTCCGATCACAATGAAGGATAAGTCTTCACATATAATATTAAAAATTCCAACAGTTCCGATACTCCATGGATCTCTATCACTATAATAAGTAGAAAGGTTTAATTCTAACATAAATTAGATCTAGATGTTTAGTATAAATATCAGTTTATCCATTGAAAAAAATATAATAACAGATTGACACTTGAAAGAAATCAAAATTGATAAAACATGCTTTATCTGATTAGAAGTCAAATATTTGCCTTTGATATGATATTAGAAATCTTTCTAGCTAAATTCGTTTTATGTTTGGCTAATCTTTTTTATTCAACTTTTATTTCTTTGTTTTTCAAATGACAAAATCAATATGTTCATTAAAACGATGCCATAAATTTGAATTTAAAAAAGAAAAATATTAGCCCTAAAGAGGGCTGTTGGGTTTTATTTATATTTTATCAGTGATGTTATTCATTTTTATTCAATTTAGCAGTATGAATAAAAACCACTTATGAACCGAAACCGTAAAGTGTACGACCTTGTCGTTTAAGTGCATAGACAACATCCATGGCTGTAACTGTTTTACGTTTGGCGTGTTCTGTATATGTAACAGCATCACGAATAACGTTTTCAAGAAAGATTTTAAGAACACCACGAACTTCTTCATAGATTAAACCAGAAATACGTTTAACACCACCTCGTCGAGCAAGACGACGGATAGCTGGTTTTGTGATACCTATAGAATAATACAAAAATGTGTAAGTATATTGATTAGATTATAGAATAACAAAGAAAACATACCTTGGATGTTATCACGTAAAACTTTACGATGGCGTTTAGCACCACCTTTACCAAGACCTTTACCACCTTTACCACGGCCGGACATTGTTAAATTTGTTTAAATGTGAATAAACAAGAAGAAGAAGACGATTTGATGAATATGAAGTTAAGAACGCATAAAACAAGTGTTTTTATACTCGATATACATAGAGGTATTGATTGGTTATTTAAGAAAACAAAGACTCATGTTTATTCATTGGTCAGTTAATGATTCTATTATTGAACCAATAATATATAGATGACCGTCTCCTTTATAAAAAGCGTTCGTTTTCTTGTGATTCTATATTCGTAATCGAAACATTTCATCGCTCTCTTATTCACACGTTTATTAAAACAATAATATAAACAATGGCTCGTACCAAACAAACCGCACGTAAATCAACTGGTGGTAAAGCTCCACGAAAACAATTAGCAACTAAAGCTGCACGAAAATCAGCTCCAGCTACAGGTGGTATCAAGAAACCACATCGTTTTCGTCCAGGTACAGTTGCTCTTCGTGAAATTCGTCGTTATCAAAAATCGACTGAATTACTTATCCGTAAATTACCATTTCAACGATTGGTTCGTGAAATTGCTCAAGATTTCAAAACTGATCTCCGATTTCAATCATCGGCTGTTATGGCTTTACAAGAAGCGTGTGAAGTATGTTCAATCTTCTTTCTGTCAATATGAAAATATTTTATATTTTATTTTTTTATTTAGTCATACTTAGTCGGTCTCTTTGAAGATACCAACTTATGTGCTATCCATGCTAAACGTGTTACCATCATGCCAAAGGACATCCAATTGGCCCGCCGCATCCGTGGTGAACGCGCTTAAATTATAAACGATGAAACAACAAATGAGATAAATAACATCACTCTCGAAAACATCTAGTTAACTAAAACCCAACAGCCCTCTTTAGGGCTAAAATATTCTATTTTTTAAATTCAAATATATGAATATCGTGTTATGAACTATACTGAATACTAACTTTATCTGTTCTAAAAATCATAATAAACTTGCTTAATAGATAAATGAATACGATGTAAGATAGAAAAAAATTATATCGACATCATTTTTCCTTTTATAGCAACAATAAATTTAGAATTTTGAGAAAAAATAGCAATCACATTTACTACAAATATTTGAAAAAGAATAAGCATTTGCTTGCTTCCACATTTGCTATTGTTCTATGTATAACTTCCATTGGTTTTTTTTTCCTATGGTTTGTTATGAGCCCCTCAATGATTCAGACGTCATTAGTGTATTGTGCACTTAGTCTATAATTTCGACTTTAATGATCTTGTTAGTATTTATGTATCAAAATATTCTAAACTTAATTCATCGTCAAATGAGAAATTTTTCATTAGTAGCAACTTTCTATAAACATGAGTATGAGACCGAAAACGTTTTGTTTGTTCTGCTCTCAATAATTTTTGTCAAGGTGAAAGTTGGAAGAATCGCAAAAATATGTCAAAGTCAATAACAGGCATCTAATAATTATGTTTTTTTATTGAGATTCGTCAAATTTTTTGACAAATTTTATGACAATGTATTTCGATGATTTTATTTGACATTTATTGAACAATAACTACGAACGAATACAAACAATAAGCCAATATTAATTTTTATATTTACTAGTTACATCAAACAGTTTTTTTTATCTAAATTTTTTCATCTATTTGAAATACTCATTTTTATATACATTTATTCAACTGCGACAACAAATTCAAAAATGCTAGAAACGAATCCATATTTTTTAAATATATGATATAAATAGCCCTAAAGAGGGCTGTTGGGTTTTAGAATATTCTTTATATCGATATATATATATAGTAATTGAGAGTGATATTCATCATCTCAATATAAACCATCAATTTATTTAGCACTGGTATATTTAGTAACAGCTTTTGTGCCTTCTGAGACAGCATGTTTAGCTAATTCACCAGGTAACAAGAGACGAACAGCTGTTTGAATTTCACGTGATGAAATTGTTGATCGTTTGTTGTAGTGTGATAAACGTGAAGCTTCAGCAGCAATACGTTCAAAGATATCGTTCACAAATGAATTCCTATTAAATAAAATAAAAATAAATATTCTATCAAAAAAAAAATTAAACTTACATGATCGACATAGCTTTTGACGAAATACCAGTATCTGGATGAACTTGTTTAAGAACCTTGTAGATGTAGATTGAATAGGTTTCCTTTCGTCGACGTCTGTGTTTCTTGTCACTTTTAGTTCCGGCTGAACCTTTGCTAGTTTTGGTAACAGCCTTTTTTGAACCTTTTGATGGTGTTTGAGCTTTTGGTGGCATAGTGAATTTGTATCAATCGAATAAACGATAGAAGAATGTGTAGATATAGGGGTAAACTATACATATGTCTTCATTTATATAGACCAGTGTTATGACAACTTTTTTTAGCGAATAGGAATCTATAATTATTGCTTTTCTATTGGTCGAGTTCTGTGCATTGACATTTTGTCTATATAAAGAAAAAAAGAATAACATGATGTTTTTCTATTATTTATTATTAAAAACTAAGAACTGATAAATTGAGAAAAACTTCATACTCATAATTAAACAAAAATTTGAGAAATTTAACTAGTAGTACTTGAAGCATTTTCAATGAGATTTTATCTTCAGTATTTCTATCATAGTAATTTCAGTTAAATCATTACTAAATTATGAATTTCAAATAGTTGTATCACATGCTGATACGAATTGAAATGTGATTGCCTCTAATATAACTAGTCCAGCTAAATATATATATATGTATTTCTTTTCAAATTGAAAGAGTGCTCTTTAGAATAGAGATGTAAAAGTTTATTTTATATATTTCACAAATGCTAGTTCGTTTAATTATAATAAAAAAATCAATATAAAAATAGAGAGAAAAATAAAAAAGAATTGTTTTCATTCATTTGGATTTGACCATAACCATCTTCTTGCACCAACTATTGCAGCAGTAGTGGAATGTGGCGGAAGACGTTTCTCTGAACAAAAAAAAAAGCCATTTAGATTATATTAGAAAGAAATGAAGCAAGATTTTTTTTCTCAACTTACGTCGTGATAGTTTCTTTTGTTTTCGTTCACCTAGGAAAAAAAAAGGAATTATTTATTTGAGAAAAAGAGTTTAATAAAAGTCGCAATTGTTAATCATACCTTTGAATAAAGCACTGACATAAAAAACACAAACAATTGTAGGAATAAAAAATGATATTCCAATAACGGCCATATAGTCTGGATCATGACGTCTACATTCATAGATTTTACTCCATAATAATCGAGTATAATTCATCTTGAAAGAAAAAAAACAGCAATGCCTATATGTATAGAATGAGATATATTTTTCATTTACTGTATCAACAATATCCATACAAACACCATTTTTATTGTCTTGTGCCACTTGTAAAAAGAAATCATTAATATCATTGTAAGTTGCTAAACATACTGTACATACATTTGTATTCAATGTTACATTAAGATCAATTGGAATTATTGGAACCATACGCTATAAATAATAAGAAAGAGATTATTGAAAATATTTTATTTATTGAAATAAAATAGAAACTTACACCAGTAGCATTAAATATACAAAAATCAAAATTTAATTTTTTCTGAATGAATTTTATTGTGTGATTAGTTAGACTATAATCAACTGTACCATTCGTGTCTTTATAATTTGTGATACAATCTAAATAAAAACTTGTTTCATTACTCAAAATTTGCAAAAATGAATTATGAAGCTAATTATTTCGAAGAATGTTTAGTCTATATATATAGAGTAAGAAAATCAAAAATCTCGACTAATTCAATAGAAGCTGCTTGTGTCAAATTATATAAGAAATCATAATGTTCTAATAGAATCAAGAAAACAAATTTATTTTGATGAATAGTCATTCACCAGTCTCTCTGAATAAATTATTCCAAAAATGACTTCTTCGATGAACGATAAATGATGAACTAAAGGAAATAGTTTATTCCGAGATTTATTAGATAAGATCCGGACTTTTGAAGTGCTTGTTCGATAGTATCTAAAACATTGCATTCAAAACTATTGACTTGAATGATTTATTTTGAAATCTTATTTCTTTTCGTATATTCTGAATTCATTATTTAAAATGTATAACTTTTGAATAAATTCTAATATCATCCAATCGAATGATTACATATTCAAAAATAACAAATATCCTCATTCTTTTAAACTTACTATCACAATATGATGAACTCCAAATATTTTGTAAAAATGAAATAAGTTGAGCAACGATTTGTATTGAATCATAACTTTCAAGAAATTGTTTACATGTTATTGTTTTATCCACATCAGAATATGTCTACATAAAATATTTTCATCATGAAAATAAAACATGAAATTACAATACAAACTAGATCTAATAAACCAATAAGATCTTGTAATCGTGCATAATTATCAACACAACCTTCACATAATTTAAATGGTCGTGCTCGACTTACAGCACAATTAAGAAATGCAGATGACATATCTGATAAACGATTAAGTATAGCTAAACAAGGATTTTCTACTGGATATATTGGATCAGTATAATTTCCATTGATTAATTTAATAAATAAATAAATAATTAGAACTTTCCACATAATTATTATATTAAGTAACTCAAAACAAAAAATTCTATCTTTGATGAATCATCTGTAGCTGTTTCACAATAACCAATCAATATAAAAAGCGCTACAATCCATAAAAAATTTTATCAAAATATAACAATAAAAATTTTTTTAAATAAATAAAAACTTTTTATTTAATAAAAAGATTTTTTTAGAAGAAACAAATATTTTTCTATTTGCTATTCGATGTTATTCGGAGGTCGATAAAACTGATGAGATTAAATAATTTTACAGTATGGCTACAAAAAGTCTAAATTACTCAAGAAACAACAAAAAATAATTATGTTTATACACTAGTTCTTTGTTTTATCTCATTTCTAGATCATGTCGAATACAAATGAAAATCAATCAGGAGAAGCAGAAGAAAATTCTGTATAGATTATTTTCTTTCTATTTAATATTTTATTATATTGAAATAATTTTTTTTTGTATTAGAATGACCAACAAGAACAACAACAAGAAGAACAACAACAAGAACAACAACAAAATAGCATAACTCCAGCTAATGAGCAGAATAATAATAATAATAATGCTCAAGCTCGCCCACGTCAATCACCGTGGGAAGTATTTAAATCGTTTGCTTTTCGAATGTTAATGTTTTATTTCATAACACAATTTTTTCGTCGTTCACCAACGAATACTACACCAGGAAATGTTACAGTACCAGTCAATCCTATTAGTGGTTATACACCAGGAAATCTTTTTCCACATGGAGAGCTACTTGTAAGAATAAACTTTTAAATACAAAAAACTTTTTTTTTAAACAAAATTTGTCATTTAGGATATGTATATGTTTATTAATGAAGAAGAAATTTATGCATATGATCCATTACGAAAACCAATTTGGGAAATAGATGCTTTAAAATATGGAGATTGGACATCAAGTGGTACTTATACAAAATTTATTGAATTTCCTGTTTCAGAAGTATGATTAATTATAAAATACTCAATATAAATTTCGAATATTTATAATTAATAGAATATACAAAATAATGGTTCACTTTATTTACATGTTATTGTAACTAAACATGGATATTCAATTGATCCTAATGAACGTGAATCTCATTCAGCACAATATGTTTTTTCAAAAAGCAAACGTATGTTACTGAAAAACAAAATTGATTATTTAAAAAAATCATTATGTTTTTTTTGTTTGTTTTGTTTTCAGGTTTAAATCGATATAAAAGAAAAGTTTATAAAAAAACAAAAAATCTTTTAACTGGAAATACTGAACAAGATGAAGAATATCAAAAGGTTTGATACGAAAAAACAAATTTGTTTTGGTTTTTTCTTTGAAAGAAATTTGTATTTTAGAAAGCTGATGATAAAATTGTTGAACTTTTATCACATTGGCATCCAAATATGACAATTAATTTACTTGACGATCAGTCACCATGGACAAAAGGCAGTATACCACCACCAATGGATAAATGTAAATTCATAGACTTTTTTCGTTTTTAATTATTTAAATTTTTCTCGATGAAAAAAAACAGAGAAAGAGACGAGACGTTCGTGAAATATATTTTTAATGTCATGTAAAGTTCAAGGGGATTTATAAAATGTTTTTTTATTGAGTGAAATCAGTCCAATGCATTTTTATGGATGAATTAAAAGTAGAATTTGAATGATATTTGAGGAGATAGATTTTTTTTTCTTATAAAAGTCATGTGAATAATGTGCAATAATTTTACTATCAAAAAGATAATGAACTTTCCATAAAGAATTGATATAGATTATCAAGTGGATTGATTTTAAGGATAGGACAAAGTTAGTTGTTTTGTCGAGAAAAGACAAAATACTGAATGAATTTCCTGTAATAACGTAATTAGAAATGTAAGCCGATCAGCGAAATCGACACTGTTGATTAATGCATAGACTATTATCTCGAAACGTGACCATAAAAGTATATATTAGAACATTGTGTAATTGGGACAATATTTACTTTAAAGTGTAAAATATACGATATTGCAAGTCTAGAAAGTTTTTAGCTAGCATCTTTCGGTTTCAATGACTTTGTTCAATTTTTTGAATTTTGACCGACAACCTAGACCATATAGAAAACTCAACTATACTGGATTCCATAAGAGATTCACAAGTTTTAAACAAAGCTTCTTCGAGATATGAGACTTTAAAAAATGTGTATGATATACACTATCTATGGAAAAGGAAAATCTTATATATTGAAGAGACTATGTTTGAAACTTGTGAGTTTTCTTTATAGAAGCTCGTCTAGTTGAATTCTGTGTATAGGTCAAGTTTTAGATCAAAATTCGAAAATACTAATTTCTTGAAAGCCTGAAATCTCTAGCAAATCGATATATTAAAAACTCACTAGCTTAGTCAATTCTCAATAGGTTATGCAATATCTGTAGGTATAAACTACAATATATTTAGACGACATGAGTAGAAAATTCGAAAGTATAGACATAAACTCGTTCTGATTTTTCATGTCTTAGTTCATACAAATAATTATTATATGAAATAAATTTTTTTGAAAAAGTTAACTAAATAAAGTGTATGACTAGGATTTAAAATAAAATATGATTTTTATCATTGCGTTTGTTTATATATATATTTCCATAAATAGAACAGAATTTGTAGGGAAATATTACAATCATAGTATCCGCAATTGGGAATTACAAAAACAAATGAGATCAGTATAAATTTCTGCATTTTAAATTGTAATTAATTTTTTTTGCTAATTTGGCTTCATTTTTGTTCGCTATTAGGACATAGTCAAAATTCTGCATATTTTTGTTACATAAAATTTAGTATATGCGTTCGTCGCTTTTTCTTCTTCTAATTGCATCATCATTATTACAATTGTTTTATTTAATTTAGTTTTTGACTTTGATGTTTATACGGGAAAATATTATCCAGTACTTTATTTAAATGATTATTGGAATCTTCTTTCTGATTATTATCCAATTAATAATACAATCGAGTAAAAAAAATATAGTTTTTTTTTTTTTTATATTATTTCTTATTAATATCATTGATTTCTAGTAAGCTTAATTTAACAATTACTGTTGCTCCAATACAATTATGGAAATGGCAAATGTATATATCACAAAATTTACGTCAATCATGGTATGGAAATTTACTTGGTGAAGAAGAAAATGATGATGATCAAGATGCAATGAAAGTAAAGAGAAAAATAAAAAAATATTTCTTTTTTTTTTTTTTTTGTTTATAAATATTAATTTTTTAGCGTGCACTTGTGGAAACGAATCCATATTTACTTGTGATCACTATTGTTGTATCAATTATACATACAATTTTTGAAATTTTGGCTTTTAAAAATGGTGCGTATACATTTGTTTTTATTTTTCTTAGATATATGCGAAATCGAATAAAAACACAAATCAGTTAGTTTCATCTACATTAGAAAACGATAACGTTTGATTTAAAGCATTCAAATGAACTTTATGTGAATAAATTACTACATCAGCATACCAAGAAAAATTAGATTGAATAAGAAACATAACAGTCTATATGGGATGATCTCAAAGTCATTCGATAATCTTTGTTTACGAAAAATTTTTGATAGGACCAGATTATAGAGCTGCGACTTTCATCATTTCGAAAGAGGTTGTGCTATTATATGGTTTCATGTATGATTCAACAATGACGATTGATGACTGGAATGTCAGTGAGTAGACTTCAGAAAAATACTGATAGTTTCATGAAGAGGACAAAGAAGTTTTATTCTAATTAATTCGTTAGTTTCATACTCGAGCTATCTTGTGTTGCACTTATAATTCTTAAATGAATCACGATAAGATTTTCGGATCAAACTTCTTTGTTGTCTTCATAGAACTATTAGTATTTTTCTGAAGCTCATTGATTGGTAAATGAAACCATGCAGTGACACAACTTCTTTCGACAGGAGGAAATCCGCAGCTATCTATCTGATTCCTATCAGAAGTTATTAGCAATCAAACGTTGAATTGTTGGACTACAACGTATAATGTTGAGGACTTAAAAATGAATATATAGTATTTCAGGATTCTTTTCGAGATATGTTACTACTATGAGCATTATATGATTATTACTGTTAAGATTAGAATTCTAACGAATTATTTATGACATTTGATAGGTTCATTTTAAACACATTTATTTGATTGCTCTACACAAGGTGACGTCCGCGCTTTAAGCGAATAAATGCATGAAATCGTCTATATCAGTGGAGAATAGTTTTTTTTTACACTTATATTTAATATCGATTTGATGCGCTTCCGCCTCCTTCTAAAAAAAATTCATTTCCGCCAGTTGTATTGAGATTAAGATAAATGAGTGGGAGAATAAGATGACAGAAAATAATTTCACAAGCAATATGATCTTTTATTCGGTTCGTCGTCTTTTTTGAAACTTTTAATGACTTTCTTCATCCTCTACTTGATTTTTTTTTTGGAAAAAGTGACAAATCTTTTTCAATTTTTATGTTTTTCTAACATCGCATTTCAAAATTCTTCAAAGAACTTCATGATCGTCAATTGCTTTATTTTGTTCAAAGGAGCATGTAAAGCAGCAGTATCAAACAGAGCGCAACTACTTTTAATTAAGCTTTTCAATTTTATATAAAAAAAAGAGTGCATCTATAAATAGATCAACATTTTCTGAATTTCTCAAGGTCTTTAACTTGTCATAATTTTTTTCCGCATAAAAAATAAGAATCAACAAAAAAAAAAAGATTCCTCCACGTACTGCAGTCTGGCATGCCATTTCAAATAAAAAAATTAAATATATAATGAGTAGCCACAAAGAACTTTTGGTTGTCAAGTGAACTATATTTAACTCTTCTTTGATGAATATTTTCTGAAAACGTTATGATTTAGAACTGAAAATTTTACCATAGCATCTCTAATATACATTGTGATAATTTCATGCGATTTGAATATATTTGATTCAAGATCGATTTTTGACGAAAGATTTAATGAAAACAGAAAATATGAAAATTGAATTCGATTGATTTTTAAATTCATTTTTTTCTGTTTGGTTTTTTGATCAGGCATACTGGGATTCTCGAAGGAGCTTCATTGCAGTCGATGGCTTCTTTTTTTTTTGTATTTGAAAAACCATCTCGAGATCCAGAGCATGACACAGCTTGGTTTTTAATTAATCTTTATTTCTAGTATATGAAAGAGCACTTTAATAATTAGAGCGACGTTGAACTTTTCTTCCCTTAAACAGTAATAATTAAAAAAAGAGAATGAGTTATATCCTTTCAAAAAACATTAAGTCTATAGAATGAAGGTCCACAGAAAAATTTCACGCGATTTGAATATACTTGCGGTTCAGTTCTGTTTTTGAAAGGAGAGGACTTTAATCTTGAATTTACACTATGGAAAGATTTCTCAATAACTAATCGTGTTAGAACAATAGACAAAAAAGTTTCACATGCAATATCGTGTAAACTAAAGTCTTACATCGAACTCTGCTTTACCTGAAAAACCCGTACATCAGACTTCCGACTATCTTTCCATGAAGTTATATTAATTTTCATTTTGTTGATGAAAATTGACTTATTTTTTTGGAAAAGAGAGTATTAAACTCTTTATTTAGACATTTTAAGTAATATTCGATTCATTAATATATATATATATATATTATTTAGATATTCAATTTTGGCGAACACGAAAATCTCTTGAAGGCTTATCTGTTCGAAGTGTTTTTTTCAATATATTTCAAAGTTTTATTGTTTTATTATATGTATTTGATAATGATACAAATACAATGGTTCGTATTAGTGTTTGTGTTGGTATAGTTATTGAATTATGGAAAGTACCAAAAGTTCTTAATTTTGAAGTATGTTTCTTTTTATTTTGTTTTTTATTTTCTTATATAATTTTTATATGGAAACTTTTTATTTTTATTTTAGCGTTTACCAAATCAAACATGGTTTGGTTTCATTCCAAAATATAAATATGTTTATAAACGATCCTATACTGATACATCAACATCCGAATATGATCGAGTTTGTTATATTATTGATTATAATAATTTTTATTTTTATTCTTTATATTTAGATGGCTTTTAAATATCTTTCATGGACATTATTTCCATTAGTTATTGGTTATGCATGTTATTTATTAATGTATCATGAACAAAAAAGTTGGTATTCATTTTGTTTAAGTACAGTTTATGGATTTTTATTAACATTTGGTAAATATTAAATTGAAAAAAAAAACATTCTGAAACACTTTTTTTTTTTTTGCTTTTGTTTATTAAAGGTTTTATTATGATGACACCACAATTATTTATTAATTATAAACTTAAATCTGTATCACATTTACCATGGCGTATGATGACATACAAAGCATTAAATACATTTATTGATGATTTATTTGCTTTCGTTATTAAGATGCCAACAATGTATCGACTTGGATGTTTTCGTGATGGTAAAATAAAATTAAAAATAGAATAAAATTTTATTATTAATATTTTGTTTTGTTCTTCTTTTTAGATATAATATTTTTTATTTATCTTTATCAACGTTATATTTATCCAGTTGATCGTAAACGTCTTAATGAATTTGGTACAACAGGTGAAACAGATTCTGCTCTTGTACCAACTGAAGAACAATCAACTACAGATACATCTAATGAACAACATGCTAAAACAGATTAGTATTTGTTTTAAACAAAATAAAAAAATCATTATTAACAACAATAGAGAATTTTTATGTTTTCGTTCTTTCTTTTTCTTGTTAAAGTACAAATTGTTATTTTGTATTTACATTCTCTTATTGTTTTCATTTCGTATTTATAATTAAGCGAACAATGTTTTTTTTTTTGTTGTTTTATTGATTAAGAAACATTGCAAAATGATATTACATGTTCTTCTTCAGATATTATTCTATTACAAGTCGATGAAATAAGATCTTCATCCGTGTCTTAATGAACCCTATGGATAAAAATCAAATTCAATATACTAGTATCATCAAGACCATATACAAAAATATTTATAACATAGCAGAACTAGACATAAACTATGCGATATATTAATACTTGCTTTAAAGTAGGATAATCTTAATATTACTTGAGATATTGATGAAGCAGTCACTTATGAATGATTCAATAATATTCGTAAGTATACTTAAAAATAAGCACTAAGGTAAATACTTGTATTTTAGGAAAAAAATGACATAATATCATTTTATTAACTTCATAACATTAGTTATCGGTAAAAGGACCACCATGGTTAGGTATTTAGGTGGTTCGGCAGGTATCAACAAGATACTGTGCTCAATCTCATTATCATCAGCCATAGAATGGTTGCGGAAAAGTCACTAACAACTGTTTGTCTCGGATTACTCATCCGATATCAAGCTGACTACATTATGATATAAATCTGCTCTTTCAGTTAGGTAGTGTAGATGGAGAACTCTGTATCAGATCGATCTTATGTGTAGAACTACAACTAGCCATAGTTGTAAGAAAATTATTAGGTTACTGAATTTGCCACTCGACAGCCATAAGTTAGCTTAAGGGTAGAAATATTCTTTCATCGATAAAGTCTTTGATCCTATGATAAATGTGTTTCTTTTTTTAGAATTTAATTCATAATGAATCTGGAATACTGCAGTCGTTAGAAAGTCATTAATCTTCTAGTTGTTTTTCTTTTCAGATTCGCGTGTCTTTACACATATATCTGGATAAGTAAATATCTATCATGGTGCATATGAATGTACTTGCCGACGCGCTCAAATCAATAAATAACGCTGAAAAACGTCACAAACGTCAAGTTATTATTCGACCATGCTCAAAAGTTATTATCAAATTTCTTACTGTTATGATGAAACATGGTAAATTGATATTAAACTGAGATTTTTTTTTTTCTCGAATAACATTATTTTCTATTCAAAGGTTATATTGGTGAATTCGAAATCATCGATGATCATCGTAGTGGTAAAATTGTTGTTAATTTAAATGGTCGTTTAAATAAAGTAAGACGACTATATAAATATGTTTATTTTTATAATTTTATATACTTATTTTGTTACTAGTGTGGTGTTATTAGTCCTCGTTTTGATTGTCCAATTCGTGACATTGAAAATTGGACAAAAAATCTTTTACCATCACGTCAATTCGGGTAAATAAAATACTTTTTGTTTTTTTTTTTACATTTGAATGAAATTTTTATATTACAATATAAATCAAACAAAATTTTTAATATTTAGATATGTTGTTTTAACAACATCACATGGTATATTAGATCATGAAGAAGCTCGACGAAAACATACAGGTGGCAAAGTTCTTGGCTTTTTCTTTTAAGAAATATGCAAGAATCAAAATGAAAGCAATAACAATAAACCAACAAAGACAAGGAAAACAAGTCTAGATCATTTTTTTTCTGTTTTTGTTTGGACTTTGTTATTGTATCAATATTATTACGATCAACAAAGAGAAAAAAAAATAAAAGAAACGATCCGCAAAAAAAATGACAAATCTTTATATATATATATGTGTGTGTGTTTATACGAATGGATGATTGATGAAGTGGTGTATTTTGTTTTAATCCTTATTTTCGAACACTATATATTGTCAAGTGGTCAACTGATACTTGACTTCATACAGGTCACTATCCTTTTGCTTGAAACTAAATTTAAGTTGGCATTGCTCGAGGTTGATTATTTGAGTGAGTGTTTGTTGTTGAAAAACAAAACAGAAAAAATATGATTGAAGTAGAAAAGACAATGAAGCCATTGAAAGCAGACATATTGATTTGTTCTATTCGTAAGGCACATTCGTCATGACATAGAAAGGAAATCCATCCGTCTTCTTCTATTCATCCGACGAACGGCGATCTATCTAATCATGAAAACTATATTGTCTCCCTCTTATTGTCATTTTCTTTGTTCCTTTTTCCTCCTCTCTTCCTTTTCTCTAATTAGCGTTTGATGAAAGAATTGAAATAGATAGAGTATAGAAAAAGAAGAAGAAGGAGAAAAAGCTCATACACACACCTTCCGGTCCGTTATGTAAATGTATGTGCACGTCATTCAACTCACAATGAAGGACTCTTTAATGATCCTTAAACGAACACATAGAGGCTATCGATGTTGAAACGGTAAGTAGAAAAAAAAGAACCTAAACGAACGGACCACTACGAATAGTTTCCGTTTTGTTTGTATGTAGTAAAAGTATTGATGTCATTTCCACCCACACACGTCGAGCTGCCAAAACTATAGAAAGATATAGTGTTGCTACGTATACGTGTCTACAGAATAACAACGACAAATTGTTCCATCTATTCTCTCATCTAGGTTCTTCTACTATTTCTCTTGTGTGTACATGATGAATCGTCTTAGTATGGCTGTCATTTGGTTTCTTTCTTTCTCGTCGACATTGGCGATCATCGATCAATAATTTTTACATTTGCTCAATAATAAAATACCGAATTTCAATACTTTATCATTGTCTCAACTATTCTTTTCAAAGAATAAATATTTATTAGCTCGAATAAACTAAATATCTCAATATATAGTATTGATCTTTTGTCGTCTTTACAACAACGATTGACATTCTGCTTCTCTTTCTTCAACATACGTTCACTTTACATCATCGTTCTGGAATCATTCATTTCAATAGAAATGTATACACAACGAAAAGAAAATTATACGTAAAATAAATTTCTATAGTTAGTAAGTAAAAGACAACATATACATTTGTAAAATTTTCATTCACTAATGTTCTCCCATTTCCGCTATAATGATATGAAAAGATTTGCGGCACAAAAAAAAAACAACAATCAAATAAAGAAGAAGAAAAAACAAAGTTAATCGCCTTTTTTTTGTTAATACGACAAAATTTTACATATGTATTCTCTATTACTACTTGAACTAATCCTTATAAAGAGAAAAAACATTGGAGAAATAGAAGAACAAGAGACATTGTCCATGTATGTTTGCTTTGTATACTCGTACTTCTTCAATGGATTATGCACGAATATCATTATTAGCATATAACAACGAAAACAAAGACTAAGTATCCATTCGCCTATGTTCACACATTAAGGAACTCGTTTTCTTCCTCTTTTTTTCCCTTCATTCTAAGTATGCATAAGAGATATTAAGTATTTTTCTTTGACTCCCTTGTTTGATGATGAGCAGATATAGTTAACATATATCATTGATTGTGTAATATGTGTGTGTCTAAAAAGAACAGGCGCGTTCACATTTAATGATCTCTAATCTTGATGTGTATGTATGTGTGTGAATGATCGAGTTACTGTCTGATAAACAACACTTGTTTAGTAGTATCAACGACTTCGACTTTTATTTCTTTCATTTAAATCAATCTATTCTATTGAAAAAGAAAAACATATTTGTTCATGTTCTTTTCATCACTATGATGATGATTATTATTAGCATGTACTAGATTAACGGACACTATTATTATAAGAACTAAGCGATTCAATTAGTATCGTGCTGTGAGTTACATACATTTCTTTTCTTCTCGTCCTACCTTCTTTTTTTCTCTTTTCTTTTTTGTTAAAGATTATTTAATTACGATGGTCTTCTACATTTTGTTCATGTACGCCTTTTAAAGTTAATTAGTTGAGTAAGAAGTAATGTCATGTATGTGTTAATGTCTATAGAGACATTCAAGACAGAATATTTGACAGATAAGCCTACTGAGAGACATTGACCTCTATAGATAACTACAACTACCAACAGGGATACGTGAAAGATAACATATGTTTTCGTTTACTGTAGTTATCTCCGAATATTTATAAATAAGAAAACAAAATTAGATAATTGCATAGACACAAATTGCCATTCACCTTTACAAAACAAAAAACAGAAAAGAATAGAATCGTTCATTCGTTTTACTTTAGTTCATTGACTCAAGTGCGTGTATACGAATGGCAGCTGTGACATTTTAAAGTTAGTCGTTTGAACGCATTCATTTATATGTAAGGCTAGACACAAGTAACTAGATGGACATGGTAACAAGAGACATGTATAGACTAAAAACGATGACGATGACTCTTGTTACTCGATGCGAAATACCTATATACAAAAAAAAATATGATTCTACCGGTTGTCGCTCCATAGAGAAATGTACAGACATACGACACGTTCGTGGTATAGAGAAACAGAGAGAGAGAGAGAGAGAGGAAGAGAGGTAGTTGTATTTGTACGACGCCAATGATGAAACCTTTTCAATTGATGAAGCCTTGCAATTGATCTTGGTTTGTCGCCTTTATATATACATACATTTATATATATATATATATATTGATGACAGTCAAGTAAAAATTTTTTTTTTTGTTGACGAACATTTTTTTTATTAAGTATGGCTTGAAGAATGATAAAAAAAAGTGTCTCGATTAGGTAAGGATCGAGCAATTAGCTTGAATTGTATTCATGTCATTCTTTTTTAATTGTCGTTCAATGTCATTCATATTTTCATTCTATGCACATCTCATTTTATTCTTTCTTTGTTCGTTCGTTCCCATAAAAAAAAAGAATAAAAGAGAGACCGCACCGAGAGAGAAATACCATCGATTACTTCAGGTAGTGCGTGCATACAAGCACAAAAGAAGTGTGAGAAGATGGACTGTGTTTCTCTTGTGAAATTAACCACAGGGTATGTGGCACAACAGGTTCGTTCTTGTCAATG